AATAATAATAATAATAATAATAATAATAATAATAATAATAATAATAATAATAATAACAATAATAATAATGCAATTAATAATGAGCATAATAGTAATAAAAATATAATTTAATCAGAACAATGCTTCTCAACCCTTTTCAAGCCCACAGCCTTTAAAATGTCCTCGCACCCCTCACAAATCCACTCTGTATCTCCCATCCACTACAGAGTGTCTGTAGTGTAGAAAGTGCATACCATTAGAGTACCTTCTAGATTTTATAAAAAGGCAAACGTTAAAGTCCACTCTCGCTTACTTTATATAAACGGATGCGTTGAAATCCGCCCCCGCCTACTTTAATGTATTAAAAATGAAATGTTATCTCGCATCCCCTGGAATAGGATCTCGCACCCAAAAGGGGTGCAAGCATCCCTGGTTGAAAAACCCTGCAGTAGGAGAATACTGGAATGAAATTTAGCATGATAAATCAATGACTATAGATGGGAAAAAGAAGTGAACCTGAAACGAGCGTTCCGTAATTCTCCACAAACTTCATTTGAGAGTTCAATTTTGGATCCATCGCTACAATCAACCAAAATGCGTTTCTCGGATGCGCCAATCACTTTCTTTTCTGCATTACCAATAAGATGATTTTGTTGAAGATAAAATAAAACAATGCATTCAAATAAAAATGTACGATGGGATTAAATAGACCCTTTGAGTCTCTACGAAACACTTAGAAATTTGTTTTGTTGATAGACATATTAGGGAAATAATAACAAAACATGTTTACGATGCTCGATAGTATTCTAATTTAAACAATAAAATAATAATAAGAAAATGCAAAGAGCAACAAAAACACAAACAGCAGTTCAAAACTCACCATCGACACTGACAGATACTGGCAATCCATCTTCCTTTTTGATTCTCTTTGAAGCGACTCCACCGAATGAAGCATTTCTCTTTTGTGGTGACTGTTTATTTATATTTTCATTCGTGATGGCAATCACCTCATCAGGCACTCTTCAAAGTTGACTGTTAATATTACTGATGACAAAACTTACTGTTAACAAATACATTCCCTTATAGTGTAGTAATTACAGCTGTCTACTCGTCGACAATTTATAGTGCAGCTGGAACTACAAAAATGTCAAACTATTATCAGCGAGCACCTTTTAATGTTGCGGTGCAGAAGTTACTCAATGTATTCAGAAGAAAGGCCACTCATCTTTGTAATAATTATTATTGAAGCAGAATTTATCACATCGCATTTTAAAAAATCATTTGCTATTCTACGTGACATGAAATGACAGCAATTAAACTCACTTAATTGAATACTGCCTGAAATCAATCCAAGGGTCTGGAAGTGATGATTTTAAAGTATCGGATAAGAGACTGTTCGAATCGATACGTGCAATTTCTAACAGAGGATAGCAAACTGAACTTCGCTCAACCGTACATTTAACACTTACGATCAGTTTCTCCATTAAATTCAGATCCACTTTCCTGAATGAATGTTAAACGATATTCGATCGGAACAAAACACTTAATCAATAAAAAAATGTCCACTGCATATTAGTGCATGAGTGACGCACCTCAATAAGCAAAAGATAACTGGAATGGAGAAGCAAACATTACTGAAACATAAAATTGATATTCATAAAAAATAAAAACTTACCGTCGGCCTTCCATGATTTCAATGAGTCGCTCGTACTTCTGCTTTGGTTGTTGGCCATCAAGACTAAAAATCAAACAATTTTGGGAATCGATTGCGATGCTTGGTGATCAAATGAAAAATAAAATTGAACGTACCGATTTCTTTCAATGATACGTCGGATCTGATCTTGATATGCCTTTAGTTGTTCTAATTTCTGGCTGTATAAAGGCTCTTCAGTGGCTGCTTTATCGGCCTCATTGCTCGACATCAGTTGCACATTTGTCATTCCACCATCTAAATAAATATCGTGCTGATAATAACTGGTTAATTAAACACAAAAATGAATCAACATGTTTAAGATAGATGCTAAAACACAGCAGATCAATATTAACACATGTGGTAATTGACGTTCTGTAAATAAACAAAATGGATAGTGACGACAAATTATCATAATGATAACCATGAGGATGCTGCTGATAAATAGCTGAAGGAACACTCATAGGTCCTCTGTGTTGTATAGCAGTTTGTTGCATTGATGTTACACCTACAGATGACGGTTGTTGTATTATCAATGATGACTGCGGTGAATTATAGTTTGGTAAGATGGTCGTAGCGCTAGTAGTGTTAGTATTGTTCGTGTTAGTGATATTCTGATCTTGAGACGATGAACTGCTTGAATTAGCATTGGTTGTATTGAACTGCTGTTGTTGCATCATATGAGTTGCTTGGGTTGTCGACGGAGATGCAGTCATTCCTGAGGCAACTTGATATGCATGACTGGCAGATGACGACGTCGACGGCACCACTCTTCTTTAATTTATTTCTTTTTTCGTTTGATACTTCTCATGTACCACGTTATAATCACATAATGAGCAATTCATTATTTCTTATCTCATTAATACACCACTTTTAAAAAAATGAATATAGTTCACGAAAAAAAATATGGTCACATCTACAGATTTTTTTACCAAACCAAGATTGAATCAGATTTCCTTCCATAATAGAAACAGACTATAGCTCTAAGATAATGTAAGATTTGGAC